AGTACGGTCGTTCTTATGTTCTTAATCTAAAATGACAAAAGGTGGAAGAAAAGTATTAGTAGTAGCCCTGCTTTACAAATAGGGAAATGAACTACAGAGAGACTAAGTGACTTGTCCAAGCTACATAGGACGTCTGTGGCAGAACTAGGAAATGAATCCAGATGTCCTGAGTCTCAGACCAGTGTGTTAAAAACAAGACCGTTATTCCTCTCCCAGTGGGACACACATGAATAAGGGTTTTGCAGGGCTGTGCCCTAGAGCAGAGGTTCTCAAAGTGTGGTCCCCATTCAGGTTGTCCGCGGATAGTTCCCTCTAAGGTGCATGCTGCGCAGGCATGGCTCCATTATTAGGTGCCTAGACCCTGGAGAAGATGCACATGTAAGGTGAGCTGGTGGCCTTGGGGGGAATACGGGGTAGGTGGGAGGCAGAAGTGGGGTGAGAAGAGGGGGTGGGGGGAATTTGAGACATGCAGGGCTATAGCGGCCAGAGATAGAGGCGACTTTCCCCAGCTCCAGGGCTGGGGCTGCCGGGAAGAGACCCCCCCTCCTTCCCAGCCCCATCTCGGGGGCTGCCACGGCAGGAGAGAGACCCCCCTCTCCTTCCCAGAACCCAGCTCGGGGGCTTCTGTGGCGGGGGAGAGAGGGCACATCCATCACATTAGAAAGGTAAGACTACTGATATTAAAATATGAATTGTGTGCTTTTATTTGTAGAACAAAAAAACCTTTATTATTAAGGGGTTTTTTATATAGCGCTTTTATCCAAAGTGCTTTACAATAGTTAGCTAACGGTACAAACAACATTTGGAAAGATTAAGTGCTCTGCCGAGACCCTCAGCAATTTTCAAGTGGTCCGTGGAAAAAAAAAGTTTGAGAATCATTGCCCTAGAGGCTCTCTGCTCCTGCACTCCCCAGTATTTGGGGCCATCTGTCTCATACACTCACAAGAGTTACTGGTGCTGTAGTAAAAGCGTGGGTTAAGAACAAAAATAAAATAATTACTGAATGAGGGCAGTGGCATTGGAACAATTTTTATAGTGGGGTGCTGAAAGCCAGTGAACAAAACTGTAAACCCTATATATGATGGAAATCACTTCAAGCCGGGGGGGCTGCTGTGCCACACCCCCAGCACCTCTTGTTCAGGCACCCCTGAATGAAGGCTTCCCTTACTCCCTGGTAACTAGAAATCTGTAATTAGGGGTCTCCCACCTCCAGTCACCAACAACTGCCTGTGCAGAGGAGCCTCCTTCCTCCCACTTGTCAAGGATTGTGAGACTGGGTGCCTGCGTCTGAGCTCTCTGTGACCATATCTCTTCAGGCTGCAGGGGACCTTGTTGCCTCCCCTTGACTGACCTCTGGAAAGAAGCTGTCAGGAGCTCCTGTAACCATCTCTCTGGCTGTCAATCAGCCAGGGGAAAATCTGCCTCCCCGCCCCAGTAAAGCATAGTGAGACTCTGACGTCACTCCTAAAGCCAGTTGCCATGCCATATATGGCTCTCTGGCTGGGTGGAGTCTTGTACAAACGGCTGGCTAAGCTGGTGTTTGGCTGTTGCTGCAGTACTACAGAGGGCTGCAACTGTAGATCTCAGGACTATCAGATGGGCCAACAGCCACTGAGGACAATTTTGCATGGATTTGATCCTTTGGGTTTCCTGGTTTATAGGTTTGTGTCATAATTTCAACATTATTTGATTTCCTTTAAAAAAAGAGGGGACCTGGATGACTGAAGGGACTGACACTGGGCTGCAGATATTTTCATTTCTACAGTGGCAGTTCATTCAGATCAGCTGTTGTGACTGCATCTGAAATCTATGCAGTAGCCTTCATAAAATGAGTTGGAGGGTCTTAATACCATTCCTGGTGAACACATTACAAAAGCCACCATCTAATTTGGCACTAACTGGTCCCCTTCTTGGGCGCTGCTGCAGCAACAAAGCCAAGAATTGAATAGGTTATGGAGACTGAACTGCACTCTGAACAATACCTCAGGTGGAAAAGAAGCCCATGGGCAGAGCAATGTGTACTGCTGTTTCCTATCCTACATCTACTTAGACTTAGAGGCCAGTCCCCAGAAATATTAATTTGGAACCTTTTACTACCATTGAATTCACTTTACAAGTACTGTAAATACAGCTGTTATTACCATAATTTAGATGGGGGGAGGAGCGGGCTAAATGAAGATTACAAAGCAAGGCACATATCTCAGGTAAATGTTATAGACTCATAGACTTTAAGGTCAGAAGGGACCATTATGATCATCTAGTCTGTTATGATCCGAATGGTGTTATTGCCACACAGTCAGTTGAGGCCTCTTCTAATGTATACATATTTAATGTGAATATTACTTATCCAGTTGGCTAAAAGAATCATTCCAGTCCACCTCAGATAAAGACATCATTTACAATTGTTTTTAAATGCAGATCACTTACTGAAAAGAATAAAGTATCTCCTTGAAGCCCGCCAGCCATTAATCTGGAGTGTTGTGTCCAATTAATAAAGCAAATGTGTAAACTTTAAATCACAAAAACAGTGATAGAAGCCTGACTTCTGGCTCACTCATGAATTCCTGGAGCACCCACTGAAGTTACAATCAGAATGAAGTGTGAGACTGGTCCTTTAAACATCACAGTTGGGACATTCCGAGAATGCTGGAAATGTGGTTTGATACTTTGCCAAGTTATGCTTACAAGGGAACTTCAGTATTCCATTAATCTTTGACTACAGTGAGCTTCCTTGCTAAATTTCCCCCTATTCTGTTCCATATAGGTTCTTATTGCTCCCATCACTACAGTATCTGAGTGCCTTTCAATATTGAGGTTCGAACCACTGCCCTACCGCCAGTGCAAACCCCCACCAGTGACACAACAACAGTGGGACTACTAGTGTGGACTGGCCACCATTGCATCGTGGACTAGCCAGTGGCATTTTAATTACCTTATGATCTAGGCCTGCTTTGAGCAGGATTGGATGACCGAGGTAAAAATGTCAGCAGCTAGCTCTCAGTAGCTCTACTACCATTGCTACCTCCAAAGGAACTGAACTGGTGCTTAAAGAAACCATGTTAAAACCATTTTTAATATTGTTTGTGCAAGAAAGGTGTTAAAAGAAGGTAACACCTTAAGTAGTTTCTCTAGCCAGCATACTCCAAACCATTCTACAAATTATGCTCTGGCACCTTGTCTGATGGGGTTAGGCTTACCACCCCAGGAAGCTACATTTAACATGTTTTCATGGTTAACATGATCTCACACCAAGTATAAATTCCTGCAGTACACAAAGAATATTGGGCTCTGCAATTCTTCACCAATCCAAGAGGTGGACATTTTTGCCACTACCAACATGGTGGTTAAAAATGCCTTGGTATTGCCAATTTCAAGTGTTCAAAAATTGTGAATCAAGTGCAAAAAAACCCATGGGATTTTAAAAAGTAATGATTTGGGGGGTTCTTTTTATTTGCTTTTTGATTGTTGACCCTTTAGTGTATGTGTTTTTAAACTCTCTTCAACCATAAGGTGTAGTAGAAACTTCCTTTTTTTGTGAAAGCTGAGAATCTTACACAATCACAATTCTAGAATCTGAGACTTCAAGTACAATACTCAATATTGCAAGACTCACGAGGAAGATGAGAGTTGGCAGCAGAGTCCTTTCTTCACTCCAGTCTTCACCATGACTACAACTAATGGAGTTTACACTGGTGGAGAATTATGTGGCCTAATTTTCCTCATGTAGAAGCAGTTAAGAGAGAGCTGCCGTGCTAGGTGTTGATTTTTTTGATTGTGGGCTCTTTAGGGAAGGAACTGTCTCATAAAAAGGTTTGAATAATAACTTACATATTGGGGGTTGCTTCTGCAATACACAAATAAAAATAGTATCTATCTCCCAAATACCAGGGCCCTAATAAAACTTGCACTGGTTTTAAAAAGTGAAGTTTCCAGGAACACTGCCTGGAAAATGCACTGTATTCTCTGTTACCCACATATATCTTTGTTTTGGTGTAAATACTCAGGCCAAAATTTTCAACTGTGTGTGCCTAAACTCAAATAATTAAAGGGGACATTTTCAAAAACACTTGAGGGACCTAGGAGCACAAATCCCATTGGCATTTTTGCTCCTTAACCCTGGAGAGTCTTTTGAAAGTCTCCTCCTAAATCCATATTTAGGTGCCTACAATAGTCACTGGGAGTTTTAAGCAGGTATTTATGTTGCAAATTTTTAGTTTCAATGCCTAATTTTAGGATTCAAAGCCTGAAAAAGTTGGCCTAAGCACCTAGATAGTAAAGCAAGGACACACTGGAGATTACAGATCGTGTGACGGTTGCACTGAATTTCTGCTGGTGTACCGATCGCTTTGTAGGTAAATATCCCGTGGGGCCTCAACACTACATCAGCCGCAAGAAGAAAAAGCTCCCGGTTCACCAATACCGACTGGGTGGAAGATTTCAGTCCGACACAGGCGGCTGCCTTGTAGCTCCGAGGGCGCAAAGGCTGCAGAGGGAGCAAAGCAAAAGCAGCAGCTGCTGTACCCTTCTCTGCTGCCCGGGCCCAGGAGGAGGCGACCCGCGGGCGGCCTCTTGTGGCTACCCCACAGCTCCGCCCCGGCGGACCCGCCCTTCTTTATCGGTCTTCTCCAGACCTGCCCCTCCTGCTCCGACCCACGAGCAGCGCCCCTTCCAGCCACGTGACGGGTGCCCAGCTTCCGGGTTGGCTTCCTGCGTCATCAGCGTGCGCTGTGCCCGCTGCCTGCCCTGCGGCGCTTCCTGTCTCGGCTAGGCCGGAGCTGCTGAGCGGGGGAAGATGGCGCTGCTGGTGCGGGACCCGGACGCTTCTCGAGCGCAGCTAGTGCCGCTGCCCCCCGGGGGCGGGTCGGTGCGGGACTGGCTCCGCATTCGCTGCCGGGCACAGGTAGGAGCGGGAGGGGAGCTGGGGGCGGCCCTGCCCCTATTGGGGGTGTCCCTGCTCTGGGGGCCAGGTGCCACCCGCCCACTGGGGGTGGGGAGGCAGCTGGGGGAGTCCCCCCGGCGCTTTGGGGGCAGGCAGGGGCTGCCCCGCGGGAGGGGGCGCGGAGGAAGGTGATGTTGAGTTGGTCCCTAAGGACTGTTGTCCTCAGAACCTGGGCGCTGTCCCTGCCCGTGTCTTGGGCCTGCTCATGGATCTTTCTCTTCGCTACAAAACCTGCCCGTGTGTGTCTGTGGGGACTAGGTTCTAGTGTCCTGCTACTGGAGAGTTTGCTTTTGTTTGACAAACTAGAAAATCTCTTTACCAGCAAAGACGTGAGCTTGAAGACCTGTCCCTCCCCCTCTAAATCTTCAGTAATTGAGGCGGTCACTGAAATATCAATAGTCCCCATACTTGCAGCTTCTTGGGCTGTTTCAGGATCTCACTGACACTTAAACTATAATAGAGGAGACCCTGGTTTGGGGTCTTAGCAAATAAATTACCTGATTCTTTAAAAAATCTAGTAGGGTCCTGTTGATTATTATGTTTTTCTTAATATGTACAAAACAATAACTTGTTAATATGTACAAAACAATAAATGCAGTAGCATTTAGAGGCCCCAGCTGAGATTGATGCCCCTTTGTGCCAGATATTGTACAAATGCATAATAAGAGCAATCTTCTTTCTCTTAAGAGCATGCAATCTAAATAGCAAGAGAGATGAGGGAAAGATGAGGAACTGAGACACAAGAGATATTATGTAATGTGCTTAAAGTCACACAGGAAATCTGTGGCAGAGTAAAGAACTGAGCCCAGATTTCCTGAGTTCACATCTGGTGTCATAAACATAAGAACATTATTTCTCTCAATTACAAATGATGGTCTGCTATAGCCAAAGGCTACCTTCTTAAAAAAATCCAGTTTTGTATCCTCTTCCACCTTCACAGCCTTAGGGAGAACAGCCAGGCTCGCACTCCCAACATCTGCAGGTGACAGCAGTGAAATCTTTCACTCTTTCTGGCCAACTGCATCAGACATGCTCTGCCCACTTGCCATACAGGGAGCCAGGAATCTCTGATCTTTTCTTCCTACTATTACTGGAGGAGTTAACACTGCACTAGACAAACTTCGACATCCTGGGGTTGTGGGTATCTTCTTTCTTTCCTCTAATTGCCCTAGATGAGTGGAGGAAGAGGAGGTGCTTATTTTATTTTTTGGCTAATACAAAGCTTAAGCACCTCTAGTAAGTGATATAAAGTGCATTTTAACAGTAGAATCCATTTGTAGGTGAATGTAAACTACTCTATAAGCACCTTTAACCTTCACTAATAACTTGAATTGAATATGTACAAAACAATAACCTTCACTAATAACTTGCACTTTGTACTTTAATTCCAGTTCATCAAGTGAGTTACCCATAACTTGATTTAAAAATGTATTTGTAATTTTTAAGATAATACATATTCAGTGAATGATTGGGAGTCTTAGAAAGCTTCTTCTTTGTTTTTAATTTCTTATTAAAAAGGAGGTAAAAAGTCTATTCTCCTTTTATTGTTTTAAAATGGATTACTCAGACTGATTAAAATCCGTTTTTATAGACAATGTTTTTGTTTCTAGGGCATTCCTGAGGACAGTTTCTATGTGAAATGTAATGGACGTCTGGTTAATACTGAAGACTTGCTACAGGATGGGGTTGTTTATAGTCTGGAGCCAAGACTTTGTGGTGGAAAAGGAGGTTAGTTGCTGATGCTGGATGGGGGACTGTCAATTTTTTAATGTATTAGGAATCTAGGGTAAAATTTCAAAAGCTAAGGGATTTTCAGAAACTAAATTTCAATGAAAATCAACAGGAGTTAGGCTCCTCAGTCACTTTGATGTTTTTGAAAAGTTCACCCTAAACCCTGACCTATGGAGGTTCTTAGCTTATTTTAGTCTACAATAAACTTGTGAGTCAGAAAAATCCTTGATAGCCAGAACTCCTTCATTCTAAGATTTCATGGCCATAAAGCTCATCACAGAATCTACTACTTGCCCTGCAGTCCTGCTCCAGAATTCAAGCTTTCATTTAAAAAAAAATTCTAACCTTTATGAACATAAAAATGTGAAGTGAGTGTAACTGATGCAGTGTTCGTTTCCTGGGTCTGCAGTGCAAACAATCTGAAATTGTACCTGTGAAACCTAAACTTGACCATTTAAATGTCAAAATAAACTGTTTCTGTTAAAGTAATTATCAGTGAAAGATTCAACTATAATGTGTTTATCGCACAAACTCAAATTGCCTCCCACCCAGTTAAGTTTCAAAAGACTCAGCTGCCCGAACAACCCATTTCCCTCTCAATAACTGCATTAAATATATTCTGTATCATCACTACAAAGATATGCACCGCTCTGAAACACTGAAATGTAGGCGCATTATAAAACTGAATTTAATAACAAAGTTAAGCAGGTTACTGGACTAATTATATTTTCATATTTGATAGATAAATGCATTCATTGTAAAAGGTTCAGTAAAGTTCCCCAGCATTTCCTATCTGCAGGCCACAGAAATCAAGGGGGCTTCCTTTAGAATTCCAGTCCAGCTTGCTACACCTTGTTTATAGAATTAGGCAGAATGAAAGTAAATAGTGCTTCTGTGACTTGGTTAATCCCCCCGAAGACAACTGGCTGCTGGTATCTGTTTATAACTTCCAAACACCCACTGTCATGCCTGCCAGCATCTACTCTACTGTGACAATCCAGCATGCATCATTCTGTGATGTCACAGTTGCCATTGGAGCCCTGCTGGGCCTAGTCAACTAAATAGTATTTTTCAAAATCATACCATTGGCCGTGTTAAGTACTTCTGTTGTTTGAGTTTTAAAATGAAAATGTGGGGTAAAACAAGGCACTCAGCCTCTGAAGGCCTGCTTAATGGTCCCTTTGGGCTCAAAATCAGACAGTCACAGAGAAACTGAAAAGTTTATGATAGGGCTTGGGAGCCATTGACTTCAAATAGGAGCAGAATTGGGCCTAGGTTTAGAAAATAGCTTTTTTTTTTTTAAGAATATAAAATCCAACGAAACCTGTAATAAGCAACTTCCTCACAAGTGTCTGCTTGGAATCAGCTTTGCAAAATTCTATTTACCTATGGCAATAGTTTGTTTTAATAGGGGAGTGAATAGGTGACTCTCTTATTGTATGGGTAGATGCCTGGCCTGGTAAATTTCCATGGCATTTTTTTCAAGGCTACTTTAAAGGATCTTCAAGGATTCTAGTACAGTTTTGTTCAACTTATAGTTAAAGAATAGTGTAATAAATGGCACTTACGTAGTACTTTAAAGCTCTGCACTGACATTAATCCTCACTGTGTTTCTTCACGGTAGTTAGGTAAGTATTATCCGTAACTGGTGAGGGGGTGGGATTGAGACAGAAGTTAAGTGACATGACAAGAGCAAGTCAGTGGCAGAGGTGTAAGTAGAACTCTAACATTACTGGGTCTCCACCAGACCACATTGCTTTATGTGACTACCTCTCTTGGGCAATTATTTTTTGTTGGCACTCTGCAAAATCCAGGCAATAGTCTACAAAAATCATTTCCCAGCCCCTGTGCAGGTGTCCTCAGTATATGGGGGTCATGATAATGGTCCCATTGGGAGATCCTGGATAGAGGGGAGGGGAGGCTCAAGTATTCGTGATATGGAAAAGATTGAGAACCAATGTGCTAGAGGACTCCAGTAGCCTGTAGTATCAGGAATACATATTCTAGGGATATCAGTAGCTCAGGAATCCAGCTGGCATGACTTGAGGAGAGCTAAAATTAAAAGATAGTTTAAACTTAGTTATACCTGGAATGCCTCTCTTTGACTTGATGTTTGAGACATTCAGCTCAATAATATAATTTATCACATTGTATCCGTTAAATATTTACAGCTCATCTTTGGCCTCAGTTATTCTGAGAGAAAGCAAGTCACTAAACTTTCAGTATCTCTTTCTTCACCAATGGTGGGACTAACAAGATTTTTTTCTCTGGTATATTATGTCTCATTACCTTGATCTTTATTACTGGGGTGTGGGGAGGAAGGGGAATAGCTATTTTCAAAATCTGTAATGGTCCTGATCCTGTAGATCTCTCTCTCACAGCTTTGTAGCTGACTTCTGGTAACTTTCAGGTTTTGGATCTATGCTCCGAGCACTTGGTGCTCAAATTGAAAAGACAACGAATCGAGAGGCTTGCCGAGATCTTAGTGGAAGGAGACTACGCGACGTTAACCACGAAAAAGCGTGAGGCATTTACTTTCTCAGAAATATCATTATAAAATACAATGACCTATCTTTCATTGTTAGAAGAGGTCAAACGAGAGGCTGTTATAGTCAGAATAATGAAACTTTATGGATATTAGAAGGAGCTTTTAGCTCGTTGAAACCCTTAGTACAATATGGATAGAAGCCAGGAGGAGTCAACTGTCTGCTTGAAGAGTATATAGCTAGTGTAAATTAAAGGTGACCATACTGCAACCTGTTTGTGACATGCTTGTCTGCACCTCTTGAAAGTGTTTCTCAGGGGGTAGAAGTATGTTCTCACGCAAAAGAAAAAATATAGAATCCTCAAAGCACACTACCCTGTAGCTGCAGGCCAGGGAGCTATGGAGCCCATCAATAGTCTATCTTGCATAAATAAACATTTCTCCCTCCTGTAGTGAAATTTCCTTCAGTTGCTGCAGGGTGCATCTTTTTTTATGACTAACTCACTTAGTTCCTGTCCTCTTCCTTTTTCTGTCCCCATCAGTGGGTGAAAGTGTTCTGTAACTGCAGAGCAATAATCATTGTTAGATTAAAATGACCAAATGGTTCCTATTTCCTGGACCTTTTTTTCTCTGCAGAATGGCCGAGTGGGTGAAGCAGCAAGCAGAGCGAGAAGCAGAAAAAGAACAAAGACGCCTGGAAAGGCTGCAGCGTAAACTTGCAGAACCAAAGCACTTTTTCACTAATCCAGACTACCAGCAACAGTGTCACGAGATGGCTGAGCGGCTAGAGGATTCAGTCCTTAAAGGTACTACTGAGCACTTGGAATGACTCCTTAAAATAACTGCTATCAGTCAACATAGGACTGTTTTCAATCATATCTTAATTCAAACAGCCATATTTTACTAACACTATTTGAGAAATTGTTACTGACCTTAAATATTGTGGGCTACATCTCACTATTTCATCTGGGTGAAATAGAACAAATTTGACTTCTAATTAGGCCTGTGAAGTGATTAAAAATATTAATCGCACGATTAAAACAATAATAGAATATCATTTATTTAAATATTTTTGGATGTTTTCTACATTTTTAAATATTGATTTCAGTTACAACACAGAATAGAAAGTGTACAGCGCTGTCTTTGTTTATTTTTATTACAAATTTTTGCAATGTAAAAAACAAAAGAAATAGTATTTTTTACCTAATACAAGTACTGTAGCGCAATCTCTTTATTGTGAAAGTTGAACTTACAAATGTAGAATTATGTTAAAAAAACCTGCATTCAAAAATAAAAATGTAAAACTTTAGAGCCTACATGTCCAATCAGTCCTACTTTTTGTTCAGCCAATCGCTCAGACAAACAAGTTTGTTTACATTTGCAGAAAGTAATGCTGCCTGCTTCTTGTTTACAATGTCACCAGAAAGTGAGAACAGGTTTTTGCATGTCATTGTTGTAGCAGACATCACAAGATATTTACGTGCCAGATGCGCTAAAGATCCATATGTCCCTTGTTGCTTCAACCACCATTCCAGGGGACATGCGTCCATGCCGATGACTGGTTCTGCTCGATAACAATCCAAAGCAGAGCGGACCAACGCTTGTTCATTTTCATCATCTGAGTCAGATGCTACCATCAGAAGGTTGATTTTCTTTTTTGATGGTTTGGGTTCTGTAGTTTCCGCATCAGAGTGTTGATCTTTTAAGACTTCTGAAAGCATGCTCCACACCCCGTCCCTCACAGATTTTGGAAGACACTTCAGATTCTTAAATCTTGGATCGAGTGCTGTAGCTATCTTTAGAAATTTCCAATTGGTATCTTCTTTGCATTTTGTCAAATTGTCAAATTTGCAGTTAGTGTTCTTAAAACGAACATGTGTGGGTCATCATCCAAGACTGCTATAATATGAAATATATGGCAGAATGAGGGTAGAACAGAGCAGGAGACATACAATTCTCCCCCAAGGAGTTGTCACAAATTTAATTAACGCATTATTTTTTTAACAAGCTTGATCAGCATGTCCTCTGGAACGATGGCTGAAGCATGAAGAGGCATATGAATCTTTAGTGCATCTGGCACATAAATATCTTGCAACGCCAGTTTCAAAAGTGCCATGTGAACGCCTGTTCTCACTTTCAGGTGACATTGTAATTAAGAAGTGGGCAGCATTCTCTCCCATAAATGTAAACAAACTTGTTTCTCTTAATGATTGGCTGAAAAGAAGTAGGACTGAGTGGACTTGTAGGCTCTAACGTTTTACATTGTGTTGTGTTTGAGTGCAGTTATGTAACCAAAAAACCTACATTTGTAAGTTGCACTTCCACGATAAAGAGATTGCACTACAGTACTTGTATGAGGTGAATTGAAAAATATTTTTTTATCATTTTTACAGAGCAAATATTATAAAAAATAATATAAAGTGAGCACTGTATGCTTTGTATTCTGTATTATTGAAATAGATATATTTGAAAATGTATAGAAACATCCAAAAATATTTAATAAATTTCAATTGGTATTCTATAGTTTAATAGTGCAATTTTAATCACAATTAATTTTTTTGAGTTAATCACGTGAGTTAACTGCGATTAATCGACAGCCCTACTTCTAATGAAAACCAATGGAATTAGGTTTTCCTCCTTTGAATAAAATTAATTGGAATATTACACAAAAGTTGCAACACAGATACAAATGATATATCATTTTACACCAATGTAATCTACAGGTAGGCTACATGAGTCCCAGGTTAGCAGCAGTGCCATCAAGAACTCTCTGAAGATGCTGATATGATTCTTACTGCTAAGCTCCTATGTAAACTTTTTTGTAGTCAAAAGATCATAATTAACACATTTTATGGAGAGTTTAGAAATTGAATATAATTAAAATATCTGGATTACACAAGTGTCTTTTACAGTTACTTTGTTTAGCCACTGATTGTTACTCTGTTGGGAGGTTCAGCAGGGGCACAAGATACCTTTTCACCTCAGAAGGGCTCTCTCCAGTACAGGGTTGACTCTCTACTCCTGTGGGGAAGCTTTTGCTGCTGCTGCCCACACTTATGCCTGTTCTGAGTTTATGTGGAAGACTTAATTCTCCAGGGCTCTCAATCCAGCACCTTCCACGAATACTAAAGAAAGACCTCTCACATATTTATGGAAAGTAACTGGAAGCATAGAGTTCTCCTTGAGCAGCTATTTGGAGCTTTAAAATCTTCTTATATGGACTTGGTAATCACATAATAACCTAATAGAGTAGAATAAATCTGCAAAGGTACTAAACTTTTAACTTTGCTTTGAAGGAATGCAGGCCTCTTCCAGTAAGATGGTGTCTCCAGAAACCAGTGATTGTCGGAAGCGCCCAAACGAGTCTGAAAAGAGTGGAGCAAAATTTGGGAAAAGACAATGTTTTTGGTAAGTGTTATGGCTTGAACAAACTTTGTAAAGAATAAGAAAAGCAATAGATAATTACCAAGGGGAAATGATCACTTTTTGTACCACTGGTACAGATTTAAAAATAAAATTAAAATACTATTTTAACTAATCACCAGTAAAAGTCAGACAGCTGAGCACTCCCCAGAACAGTGCTACCGCCATTCTACAGGCACCAAGGAAATCTAATCTGAAGGAGCTTTGACCCCTCTCGTCTTTCCCTCACACAGTTGCGCCTCACTTCGCATCGTCCCGGTTAACGTTGTTTCGTCGATGATCTATTAGAGAACATACTCATTTAAAGTTGTGCTATGTTTGCTTATAACGTTGTTTAGCCCTGGGGACTTGGAACCAGGATGGGCTGGCAGCCGCCCCCCCCCCCCAATATCAGCTCCCCTTCAACACCACCCAGTACCTCCCAACTGCTGTTGGCCCCGCGGATCAGCAACTCCCCCTTCCTCCCCGCGCCTGCTGCCTGCAGCAATCAGCTGTTTCCTGGCGTTCAGGAGCCTCTGGGGGAGAGCGGGAAGGAGCGAAGATGCGGCACGCAGCCTCCCCCCTCCCGCCTGCAGCAATCAGCTTTTTCACGGCATTCAGGAGGCTGGGGGGACGAGGGAGGAGCGAGGACACGGCATGCTCGGGGTAGGGAGGGGATGGAGCAGGGGCAGGAAGAGGCGGGGCAGGTATAGAGTGAGGATGGGAATAGGCGGGGTAGGGGCTTTGGGGCAAGGGGTGGAGTGGGGGCAGGCCTGGGGTTGAGCACCCCCGGCACTTTGGAAAGAACAGCAAAAGGAACAGCCAGACGATTCACCCTCTGACTCCACCACCTCAACCAAGCTTCACAATCATCATTGCTTAGTACAGTATTACATTGTTTGTTTAAAATTATTTAAAACTTGTACTGTATATGTATGTCTTTTGTCTGTGGAACCTAAGCCACACACCCCTCCCATCCCCCCCGTTTACATTAATTCTTATGGGGAAATTGGATTCGCTTAACATGATTTTGCTTAAAGTTGCGTTTTTCAGAAACATAACTACAATGTTAAGCGAGGAGTTACCGTACTACTTCATGCCCTCATGCCTTCTGCTGCCCTTCCCTCATCAGTATTCATCTGGATAATTAAACTAGACTCAACCTTTCCTACCTTATGTAACTTGAAGACTTTTTTTGACCCCTCTAATCTTCTCACACTCCAGTTTGTTCATCTTTCATAGAGAAAACAGTGGGAGAATCATAAATTGTTCTGTTCTTTTAACAAAATGAGTTTTTGAATTCCATTATTTAAAATGATGAACTAGAATGGTTAGGCATAGTAAAGATGCTCGTGTGGCTAAAGGTCTGCCATGTGGCAGTAGTAGATTTGGCTCATTCTTTACTAGGAGTGCTTCAGAAAGTATATCTGGCGCCTGAGGGAGTGCTTGGAGTTATGTACAGTAACAGTGACTTCTACCCTTTTGAGTGCAGGAATTAAATTGGCTGGAGACAATCTAGTCTAGTCCTCCTTTGCTAGGCTAGTACACAGGGGCGGCTCTATGTATTTTGCCGCCCCAAGCACAGCAGTGAGGCAGGCTTTGGCGGCATGCCTGTGGGAGGTCCGCTGGAAATGCGGATTCGGCCGCATGCCTGCGGGAGGTCTGCCGGTCCCGTGCCTTTGGCGTACCCACTGCCGAATTGCCACTGAAGCCACGGGACCGGCGGACCTCCCACAGGCATGCCACCGAAGGCAGCCTGACTGCCGCCCTCACAGTGACCGGCAGGCCGCCCCCCCACGGCTTGCCGCCCCAGGCACACGCTTGGTGCGCTGGTGCCTGGAGCCGTCCCTGCTAGTACAGTGAGCTCTTTAGTGCACGTGAAGGGGAAAGTGACTCTTTTTAATTTAAATTTTTTAACTAGTGTTGTTTGTGACAGGATGGGTGTGGAAGGACTGGCGGATCCTGAGAGCTCCAGTGATGGTGATAGTGATAGTGAAGCTGATTCTCCTAGCATGGCAGAAGGTAGTTGGCAATCAACTGTCAGCCATGTTGAAAAGACTGAACTCGCAAGTGAGTGGCCCAGTAGCTCAGAAGATTCCATCGGATGCAGTTCAGCCTCCAATGCTACTGAGAAATCGCAGGAACAACCAGAAGATCTTGGAAAAGATCTACCAGAGGAGGTGCCTGCAGGTGGTCAGACTGAAACTCCAGCAGCTGATGAAAAAAATGAAGCAGCGAAGACCCTGAAGGATGGGGAGCAAGAAACTGTTTCAGCTACTCAGCAGGAAACAAACCAGTTGCAGAGCACAGTAAGCAGTACTAAATTTGAATATCTAGAGATGGACCTCTTGCTGCTTTTTCCTCTCTGCCCATCATCTATCTTTGAACCACTTTTTCTATCATCCAGTTAGTGAATGACCTACCTAACAGACATAAAGGGACCTGGCCAAAGTAGTTGGGTCTAAAAATTAACTTGCCTTGATGGTTCTCATGATAATTCGTATTTCTAAAGAATGCTCACTCTGGGCTCTCAATAGGTCCTTATAGCAGCTCAAAACAATTCCCAAATCACTGCATATACTACTTTAAAACAAATTGGGTTAGATATGCTAGATCAGGGGTCTCAAACACGCAGCCCGTGGAGTTATTTACTGCGGCTCGCCAAGCTCCCTGTGCGCCCCTCCTACCCCCGGAGTTATTTCCTGCGGCTTCCAAGCTCCCCTCACCCACCGCCCCCCCTTCCCCTCCAGCGCGCCACGTCTCTGCTCCTCTGCCTACTTCCAGGCGCTTCCCGCTGCCAAACAGCTGTTTGGCGGCACTTAGTGCTTTACTGGAGGGGGAGGAGGAGGAGCAGGGAGCTGCACGCTCAGGGGAGGAGGCAGGGCAGGGGCAGGGAGGGGCGGGAGTTGGGGTGGGGACTTGGGGGAAGGGGTTGGAAGGGGCAGGGCAGGGGTGGGGCCTCATGGAAGGGGTGGAGTGGGGGCGGGGGAAGTGGCTTTTGTACCTTTATATGATGTGGCCCTTGGGCCAATGTACTAGTCCTCATGTGGCCCTCGTGGTGATTTGATTTTGAGATCCCTGTGCTAGATCCTCTTATAATCTGTATGCAAGAGTCTTGTTCTGCAATCAGAGGCAAGGATCAAAGAGACCAGAATTCTTGAGGCAAGAATTCCAATATGATAAATTGTCAAATCAGTTTTTTGGCTTACTGGAATGTGTTCCTTGGCTCTTGGGAAATGTAGGATATTTAGAAAAGAAACTTTCTTTCTTCTCTAAACTACTCCACATATAAGTAGCCTGGGCTCTTTTAATTGAGGAGTGACTACACTGGACTGTCATCAGGGAAGCACAATAAACACAAACTGAACAATGCATCTCTGTTGCTATTGTAAATTGATCTAGAAGAGATCCAGAATATATCAAACAAAAATCCTGTTAACTGCTATTATGTTTGTTTAGAATACACTTATCTGTCAGAAGGGGTTTGCCTCTAAACATCTGAGTATGGATGTGTATAGTGGGCTTTGGTTTGCCTTTTGTATGACTATTCATTCAGTAGAAGTATTCATAAAAAACCTACTAGTGCACCTGGGCTCCTGCAGGGGATGGTAACTAGAATGCTCCCTAAGTGGCTATATTGCCTCAGTATCATGTGGTCCATATATCTGTTGGTGAGGTGATGTAAAGTGATCATTATACTAGTGTCTTGAGGCCACTTAATTATCTTAAATACAATATTCCCCTGAAGCCATCACCTTCACTCAATTGAAAAATCCCACTGGTTAGGACAGGAGGAAGATCAATGAAAGATGCATCCTGCACTATGGACTAAATGTAGCCATGTACTAGCTCTAATGGAAACTAACCCCAGAGAGGGTCCTCCACTGACACCTATCACATGAGTTCCGCACTGGAACCAAAGCAGTAATGCCGCAGATTGTAACTGGAGTGATAGGTCATGGGGGAATGTTAATCTCTGAGATAGCCAAGTCCTAGCATCTTTAGGGCTCTCCCTGTCTCAGATATCTGTTCTCTCTGTCCTGAAGGGGTTAGGCACTCCTTGTGAGTGTCTTCCCTTCTCTCCCATAAGCGTAGTCAGAGATCATCCCCTTTGTGTGAAAAGTTCTTCCTCTGGGAAAATATTATCTACTTTGTAGGATGAAAGATTTTCCAGCTCACTGTATCAGGTTTGGTCACATCACCTGTAAGTGTAGGTTGACCTTAATATTCATCCTTGAAGGTCACCTAAGTTAGAAGTTAGTCACTTGGGTCTTATTTGGAGCAGACAAAAGCCAATTGACTAGTTCATCTATCTTGGTTTTCTCTTATATAAACACTTCAGTGTGGCGCTTGGACAAACCACCTTAGATGTGGCTGAGACTGCAGCTCTCATTCAGGCAATAAGATTTGGTTCCAGTATGTCTCTTAAGCCTAGTCAACACTAACCCCCACCCCCCCCCATTCGAACTAAGGTACGCAACTTCAGCTACGTGAATAACGTAGCTGAAGTCAACATACCTTAGTTCGAACTTACCGTGGTCCAGACGCGGCAGGCAGGCTCCCCCGTCGACTCCGCGTACTCCTCTTGCCGAGCAGGATTACCGGAGTCGACAGCAAGCACTTCTGGGTTCGATTTATCGCATCCAGACAAGACGCGATAAATCGAACCCAGAAGTTCGATTGCCTGCCGCCGAACCAGCGCGTAAATATAGACAAGCCCTTAGACAATAGCAGCTCCTGGGAGGTGGGAGCAAGGATGTGATGTGCCACAGTTGTTTACAAATCTTGGTGGAAGAGCAGATTTAAAGGAAATAATGAATCCATTATCTCAACAGTGGAGTAACCTGCTTACTCATATTTCCTTAATAGATGTGCAGTTCAGAGTCTTATGAAAGCTCATTCAGTCACATCACTGACATGGTATATTACTTTGTTGAATTTTTGTCAGCTACGTGAGAGGCCTGGATTAGCTTTCTAGCCAATGAAATCTCGATTTTCAGCCTTTGATTCCTGCAGAGTCTTTATTAGTCATAGTAATATGTTTGGACACATTCATTCCAAAAAGTTGAATCTTGACAGTTGGCAAGTAAGTGAACAAACATAATTGAATGAGGGAAAACCCACCACAAAATGTACTTCAGTTTTTAACAGGTGTAGTTCAGTTAACTGAAACTTTGTAGTATACACTTGAGTGCACAGTAGGAACCATCTTAAACTGGATATTTGCAACACATTTGCAGTGTTTTATCTTTCCCTCATTATTTGCAGCGTTCCCTCCTCTGAGAACAGGAAACTTCACCAATGGCATGGTAAATTCTTCTTGCAGTTGGCAAATATTATGATGGTGCCTGTTGCATTTTGTAAAAGTAGTGACTATAGTAATAAGACCTCATAACAACTCCACTCGGTGCTAAGACACAGCCAGGTGATATTTTTGTTTTTTGTATGTGCAGCTTGGCAGTGTGCGATACTGTACAGAATTGGACCCTGTTCTTAAGTAAACACTT